CCGCCGTTCCCGCTGCTCCTTCCAACTGCCGCTGAAGCTGCGGCGGTTGCGGCTGCTTTTGCAGCGGCGGGCATATCTTGGGCTTCTGCGGGCTGCGCCAGTTCTCCACGTGTCCCTGCCATGATGGCGGGTGCCTGTGTGGGGCCTGCTGATTGCCCAACTGCTGCTGGACTGCTTGCTGCTGCTGGAGGTGGTGGGGCTGCTGGCGCTGCAGCTGCTGCTGCTCCTGGTGTTGCGGCTGCTGGGCTTGTGGTGGCAAGGGCCCCGTCTGGTCGGGAGGCGGCGGCTGCGACAGCCGCGGCTGCGAGCCAAGGGGGGACTCAGCTACTACTAATGGTGATGGCGGGATGCAGTCAACGTCCTCCAAGCAGCCCGATGCCGCTGCGCGTGGGGGCGTGGCAGTCACGCCGCATGGTGATGTCCATGCATGTGCCTGCTGATGATGCTGCTGCTGTTGTGGCTGCTGCTGCTGCTGCTGCTGCTGCTCCTGACGCTGATCCTGCTGCTGTTGCTGCTCCTGCAGCTGCTGGTGCTGCTGTTGTCGCTGCTCTTGCTGCTGCTGCTGCTGCTGCTGCCGCTGCTGTAGGGTGACCTGCTGCTGCGGTAAGTGCTGTTGCTGATGCTCTGACCACTCCTGCTGCTGTGCCTGGCGCTCTGCTGTCAGTTGATAAACCTGCTGCCGCTCCTGCTGCTGTTCACGCGCTTGTCCCTCCACCACGATGGCTGTCTGCTCGGCCGCACTGGCGAGAAGCTGAGCCTGCACTGACTGCAGCGGTGGCTGCGGCCGGGTGTCCAAATGAGCCTGCTGCTCCTGCCCCTGCAGCGCCGGCCATGTCGGGCGCCATGTCTGCTGCTGCATGGCCGATCCTGCCCGCTCACGTGGCGACTGCACTGCTGACGGGGTGGCACTGACGCGGGTTCGATGCGCCAGCGGCACCTGGCTCAGAGGAACCTCGAATCCGTCCTTGTCTGCTGCTTCTGAGCGCTTCAACAGACGAGCAACCGTATCCCTCTCCTGGCGCGGCCCCACTGACCGATCTCGCCTGCCGCCGCTGCTGCTCTTGCGGCTGCCCAGCTGGATTCGCTCTGCGAGCGGCACCTGGCTGAGAGGCACTTGGGCGCCTGCAAAGTCATGAACGGCGTACTGCCGCTCTGCCTGCGCCGCTGCCACCACCGGCCTCGCGCGGCGGCGCTGCACCTGCTGCATCCGCAGAGCAAGGGGGACGTCCTCCACCGCCTCTGGCCCCTCCCAGCCATCCCCAGCGATGGCCGCCGGCGCGGCCCGACGCTTGGCTGGCCGCCGCAACGGCGCGGGTGTGCCTTGCCGGCAGGCCGGCGCGCAGTTGGTGCCTGGGCGCAGGGGCTGCCCTTCGCCAGGCCGGCGTGGATGGCGGGAGGCTGGCGGGCGTCGCGGCGGAGGCCCCAGGGCCTCAAGTCGGTTGAGCAGGGGCACCTGGCTGAGGGGCAGCTCAAACGCAGCTTCTCGTTCCTGCTGCCGTTGCTGCTTCCGCCCCTGCTGCTGCTGCTGCTGCTGCTGCTGCTGCTGCTGCTGCTGCTGCGCCTGCTGCTGCTGCTGCAGCCGCCCGTCCTGGTGCTGCTGCTGCTGCTGCTGCTGCTGCTGCTGCTGCCCGTCCTGCTGATGCATCTCGTGAACTTGCATAAGTGCGGCTTCCTGGGGATGCAGCGATGCACGCCTGGCGGCCGCGGCCCGCAACGCCGCAAGGGGCACCTGGCTGCTTGCGATCGTGTCCAGATCATCCGCCTCAGCAGACACAGCATCTGACGGCTGGACTGCCTGCGCTGCCGGTGCCGCGGCCGCTGCAGGCTGCACCCAGGTGGGTCGAGTCGCTGATGTGAGGACCCTGCGGCGCGCCGACAGAGGGGCCTGGCTGGGGCAAAAACGTACGCCTTCCTCCAGTGGCGCACACTGCTGCTGCTGCTCCTGCCGCTGCCGCTGCTGCTGCTGCTGCTGCGCTTGGCAGGTGTCCTGCTGCGGAGCTGGTGTGACGGCTGCACCGCTCGCACACGCTGACAGTGCCCGCCGCCTTGTCGACAAGGGCTCTTGGCTGCCCGCAGAGGGCGGAATCTCATCCCGTTCGCCTGAGTGCCAATCTGAGGGCAGCACAGCACCCGTGGGCACCGACGGCGCCGGACCACTGACGGCTCGTGTGACCAGCAGGCGCCTCGCCGCGAGGGGCACTTGGCTGCTGACAGGGTCGCAGGCAGCGGCTGCAGCGCACGGCAGCTGCTGGCTGCGGGCTTCCAGCGAGAGCGCGGGGGCCGTGGCGCCAGCGACGAGCGAGCGCCGCCGTACTGACAGGGGCTGCTGGCTAGAGGCCACGCCAAATGCCGCCTCTTCCTCGTGTTGCTGGTGCAACCACGGCTGTGGCGATGGTGGTGGAGCCGGCCCGCCTCTTGCCATCACACCTGCCAACTGCTGTCCCGCCGCGCCCAAGCCCATACGAAGCCGCACAGGTGCTGACCGGTGCGCCTCCTGGCCTTCTCTTGCGACACCCTCGCCGTTGCCAACGCCAGCAGCGACCGGCTGCAGCACCGCATCCGCCCCAAGCCCCTGCTCAGACCCGCTGTCCACCAAGTTGATGACGTCATCATCTGCTGCTGTGACGGCGTCTGCCATGGCTGCTGTCGCTGCTGTTGCTGCTGCTGGGACCATGGGCCTCACATCCGCCCCTGCGTCCGCCCCCGCCGCCCCCACTGCGCCCGCGCCTGCGGTACCGACCGTCTGGCCGCGCAGCTGTTGCAGCCGCTGCCTCAGCGGCACCTCCTCCGCCGCCGCACCCGGCACAGGGGGCGCGTCCTCCAAGCCCACGCCTGCGGCGGGCACGCGCCGAGCCGCCGTCGCGCCAGCGGCGGCAGCCTTGCTCGCCTTGGCCCTCGGCCGCTTGCCAGAGGGCTCCAATTCAGCAGGCGCCCGGCGTTTTGGGCCCTGATGTGTGGCGTATGCCGCAGACCTCAGCTGCTGCCCGGCCGCTGCCGCCGCCACTAATTCCGGCGCCGCTTGGTGCTGTGCGCCGGTAAGCTCGGCGCCTGCACCACCGGCGGCAAGCGGCGCGCGATCAGCGGGCTCGTCCTCCATGTCACCCGGGTCCGCATCAGCACACTCAGCACCTGCGTCGCGCCGCACAATTGTGTTTGACCATCACTTGACCGGCACTTCTGCTGGCCCAGCAAGAAAGGATGGGCGCATGGTGGCATGCTGGGCCATATGCCAACAATGCAGCGCAGCCCATATTCTTGTAGATGCTCACCCCTCCTCCGAAACCCCATCCCCTCACCGGCATGCAGCAGCGCCAGCCGGGCCAACGGGTGGTCAAACTCTTCCACTGCCGCGCGCAGCTCCTTATAGCTCATGGGTCGCATCAGGTCCTCGAGCTCAGCCAGGTCCCCGTCCGGTGGCAGCAGCAGCGCGGCCGCCGCTGTCGTAGCTGTGAGGAAGCCGTCTGCGTCCACGGAGAAAAGTCTGCCGGGCACCGACTCCTCATTTGCCTGCTGCTCTTGCTGAGGCCTCTGTTGCTGCTGTTGCTGCTGTTGCTGCTGCTGCTGCTGCTGCTGCTCCTGCTGTTGGTTGTGCTGCTGCTGCTGCTGCTGCTGCTGCTGCTGCTGGGCGAGCGCCAGCGCCACAGGGCCGGCGCCGCTGTGTGACCGCACATCACGGGCACGCCGTGCTGGTTGGTCGACGTCAACCATACCGCCTGTGGCTGGCCAAGGGGCGCCTCCCCCTGCCAGCTCATCTGCAAGACCCTCGTCAATCCCAAGGGCGGCCCATGCCGCCCCCCTTGCCTCCCCTCCCAACAAACCCAGCTGCGCTGCTGCTGCGCCGTCCGCCGGCCCCGTTGGCCAGCCAACGGGCAATCCAGAGCCGGCTGATGGCGCTCGTCCGGCATCACTGACGCCGAGTTGCCGCCTGCCTGGCTCTGATGTCCTGACATCCGACTGGGGCCGTTGCCGCTGATGCTGGTGCTGCTGCTGTATCGCTGACGCTGGCTTGGGCGGCGCCAGTACATCTGCAGGAAAATACAGGTGATTGTCCTGCGCCGGCGCCTCCTGCAGCTGCGCCTTGTCCGCTTCTTGCCCCGACCACCAACCGCTGTCGTCGTCGCTGCCACCGCCGCCGACAGCCGTGCCGCGCCCGAGCCCGCGGCCGCGTCTACCGCCACGGTGGCCGCGGCTGCCGGTGCGGCCCTGGCGGCCGCCCCTGCCTGCGGCTGCGCGGAGCGGCTCCTCCCCCGGGACCCCCTCCTCGCAAAACGCCCCCTCCTCCCGGTCCTGCTCCTCCCCATCCGACAGCACCCGCGCCCGCCCCTTCTCGCCGCGCGCC